CTGAACTTCAAAATTACAAATTATCATTGCTAAATTCTGGAAGTTTAGTTCCTAGTTGGAGGTTAGAAACTCTTGAAACAAATCACAAAATATATTGTTGTAAACACTCAGGAGAACAATCGTTCTAATCCTAAGTGTAGTTAGATAGGATACAGTACCTTTTGATCCCCACTGGATCAATAGAGAAAAACCTAAGGATTGAGTAACTTGGAGTGGTGTGTGCTCCTTGTGAAACACCTTTCGATCTAGGCCATTTTAGTTGTAAAGGCTAGATTGGGCACTAAGTGTATTAGGCTTAATACTTTAGTGAAAATCCATCTGAAAGAGGGTGGGACTGGACGTAGGAGGATTACACCACCTCTGAACCAGGATAGACTGTGTGTTGATTTACTTTCGGTCAACAAAGCACACACCCAACACTTCTCATTAAAGGAAGTAGTCTGCTGATAGGCACTAGTTGTTAGTGCCTAAGTATACATCTTTATTATTGTTTGTAATGTTTATTTACTAGTTTTGTGCAAGTTTGTAGTTGTTAGTTTGCATTTGATTGTAATCGTATTTCTAGCATTTTATTGTTTGTTGTAAGTTGTCGTTAGTTGGGCTATATGTTTAGGATAGGTTTGGAAGTAAAAAGGATGAAGAAACCTGAGTTTTGTGCAAAAATCGGTCGGGTATGACCTTTACCCGGCCGAGTATGAAGTGAAAGAGGAAGCTTTTGGGAAATTAAATCATTCAACACAAAAACTCCCCTTTTATTTACTAAGTTCATAAAAAGAAAAGTATTCCTTTCCCTATGGATACAAACTCTACTTCACCTATACTACGTATTAGTGCTAGTATTGAATTTATTTTGACGCACCGTAACAAAGTGCTCGTCTAATTTGGCGTCGTTGCCGAGGAAAGACAATTATTTTCTTTTTTGTTTTAATTCAAAAAAAATAAAAAAATTATAATAATAATAATAATATGTAAAAAATTTCATTTTTCTATTTTCTGAGCTTACATGAGTATATGGATACCAACACATCATCCTTAGAGAGTCAAATTTCCGTCTTGGCTTCTCTAATAAAGGAGTCTATCTTATGCTCAAAAGTTCAAGATGTCAAGACTTGCAACATTTGCATGTCTCACAGGCATCTTACGGATTTTTGTCCAAATCTCCAAGAAGAATACCTTGAACAACTTGATTATGCCGGTTTCTAAAGGAAAGTACCTCACGTGAGGTATGATCCATTATCCTACTCTAACATGTCTATAGAGGATATGGTTCAGGCTATTGCTTCCAACATGACCACCATGCAAAATAATATGGTGCAATTTCAAAATGAGACCAAGTTTAGCATTTTAAACTTGGAAAATCAAATGAGTCAAATAGCCGGAGCTGTGAGTAGGCTTGAAGCAAGGGATTCGGGAAAACTTCCCTCTCAAATAGAATGTGATCCTAAATAGCAAACTTTTGCAATCACATTGACAAATGAGAAGGAAATGCAAATAGAGATCCAAAATCTAGAAGGAGTAGAAGACGAAAGAGTCACGAAGCTCGAGCTGGTCAAAGAAGAGGATGAATCGAGTTTCAAGGTCAAATATCTATCCTTATCGTTCTTTGAGGTACCCCCAACAGTTCTAATAACTTTGAGGGAAACTCATAAAATTGAAAAGGATACTGACATTTTTGAAATCTTCAGCAAAATTGAGGGATCAAAACATTTTTCGTTGACCATGTTAAACAATAATTTGTTTCCCTCACTCGCACCACATGAATCAATGGAAATCTGAATATTTGATCCTGGAAAGATTTTCAAAGTGAAGGGTGAAAAAATTGAGCATTTCTATGAAAGTCCTAGGAATGAAAATTTGAAGAAGATTAATTATCATGATCCAAGCTTGAACAATTGAACACAATGATGGCGTCGTGCCGCGACGTTAAAATGAGGCGCTTCTTGGGAGGCAACCCATGTAAGGTACGTTTACTTGTTTTATTTAATTTTGCACTTTTCAAGTCAATAAAAATTAAAAAAAAAGTTTTTTTGAGAGGTCTGGGGAAAAAGCCTACCGGATATTACCCAAAACCCGGCCGGGTATTGTGGCAAAGATGCCTCTGGAAAGGAAACCCATTCGGGTGTCGATAGGGTAAAGAAAAACGATTTTTTTAAAAAAAATGGTCTAATACCCGACCGGGTATTATGCCTAAAAACGTTCTGCCAAGCAAAAAACAACATACCCATTCGGGTATTACTAAAACCCGGCCGGGTAATTGAGATTTCAGTCCAATTTTCCCCAAATCAGTCCACAAAACACCCATTTTCTTCCATAATCTCCCAAACTCAAAACCATCAACCTCTCCAAGCTTCAAACCACTCCAATCTCAACCAAAACGTCCAAATTAACCCCACATTTTTCTTATCCACATCATCCTCTCCAACCCCAAAACCTCCAAAACAAAATGCCATTTTTTTCTCCTCACCCTACTTTCCAAACCCACACACACAAAACCCACCAAATCCCCCAAATACCCTACAAACCGAATTTCCTAACCCCCAAGCTCAAGTTTGGAATTCACTCCAAAAAAAGGAAAAAAACACCAAAGAGAACACATAACTTTGACCACCAAAGGTACTTCTCCAACATGCCCACTCTAGTACAACACCCGGCGTGGTATCATCCCTCATATTAAGGCAATTGGGAGGTTTTAGCTCCGGTGAACATGGTCTTGGTGGCGATGGTGGTTATGGAGGGTACATCGATGATCATGGTGTCGAACACTAGGGACAATGTTTCGAAAAAAGTGTAGGGGAGACACTCAATTGGTATGTACTCATTTTTTTAACCTTGTAACTTGCATTATTTTTCTTCAAAAAAATAAAAGAAAAAATAAAAGAAAAAATGCTAGTTAGGTTGAAAACCCAGAAAAAATGGACAATCTAAGCAAAAGTGGCTAAAATGAGTGAGTTGTGAGAAACGAAAAATAAAAAGAGAGGCTAGGATGAAACCCTAAAAAGGCTCCTAGGCAAAATGAGAGAATGAGAGAAAAATATCTATTTAAGCAGGAAGATAATGAAAAAGGAAAGATGAAAGCATGGAGTTGAAGACCCCTTTTATCACGGGGCTTTTTAATGATTTGTCTAAAAAAAACTGTTGGATGGTTGTTCTGCTACTCTTGTGGTTTTAAAAACTTCATAGGCAGGTTTTAATTTACTCGAGATGAGTAAATGTTCAAGTGTGGGGGTGTTTGATAGGCACTAGTTGTTAGTGCCTAAGTATACAACTTTATTATTGTTTGTAATGTTTATTTACTAGTTTTGTGCAAGTTTGTAGTTGTTAGTTTGCATTTGATTGTAATCGTATTTCTAGCATTTTATTGTTTGTTGTAAGTTGTCGCTAGTTGGGCTATATGTTTAGGATAAGTTTGAAAGCAAAAAAGATGAAGAAACCTGAGTTTTGTGCAAAACCCGGTCGGGTATGACCTTTACCCGGCCGGGTATGAAGTGAAAGAGGAAGCTTCTGGGAAATTATATCAAATAACCGGTCGAGTATTTCATATACCCGGTCGGATATAAAGTGATTTCAGACAGAAAAACGTGCAGAAGAACACAAAAACGTGGGAAAAAGATTTGATTTGACAAATACCCAGTCGAGTATGTCAAATACCCGGCTGGGTATCCGGCCATAGGTGTTGAAAACACCTATAAATAACCTCATTTTCCTTCACTTTTCATCATCCCTTCTTCATACTCTTAAGCTCAGTTTAGAATAGCATTTCTTTATATTTTTCTAGCTATGTTTAGTCTCCAAATGAGGAGTTAAACTTCCATTCTTGGTTTTGCTCTTGAAGCTTGTTGATTATTAAAGTTGTGAGTTGGGTTAATAATGAACGGTCATTGTTAATAACTACCCTCGATGAATTGGATATACTCCTCGATTGAGTATTCGAGAGGGAATAAGTTATAGATATAACAATGATCGACTAAAGTATATCAACAAGTGGAATGTAACAATGACAAGTCCTTTTTATCTTTGAATTAAATCTCATATAAATCGTTCATCTTAGTCTTTAATTAAATTAAATCATTCAACGCCAAAACCCCCCTTTTATTTACTAAGTTAATAAAAAGAAAAGTATTCTTTCCTTGTGGATACGAACTCTACTTCACTTATACTACGTATTAGTGCTAGTATTGAATTTATTTTGACGCATCGTGACAAAGTGCTCGTCATCTGCCAGCAGTATCCTCAGTAGTAGCCTCATCTGACGCCACTGCTCAGCTTACTGCTTAATTACATACTTTCTTTGAGACATTTTTACATTGCAGTAATCGTACTAAATCACTACAAAGAAGTTTGTTCAAACCGATTTCTGGGAATCATACTCAGCAGTTCCCCGACAATCACCCAACTGCTCAGGCCACTGCTCCCATAAACTTCCACTTAAACTCAGCTGAGCACATTTCCAGAAAGCTCATATCATTCTAAGTAAGATTCTACAATCTGCCCTCTCATATTCTCATCTTTTATCAAGCAGTTGCCTCAGCAGTTCCCTAGCGACCACCCAACTGCTCAGACCACTGCTATCATAAATTCCCACTTTCCACTCAGCTCTATACATCTCCAGATTGCCTTCATAATTATCCTGAGTAAGACTCTATAATTAACTCCATCACAAGCTATATATTTCCTCAGCAGTTGCCTCAGCAGTTCCCTGCTTTTCAGACAACTGTCGAGCTAACTGCTATGCAACCTGCTCACTGTTTAAGCCAAATCTTTACCCAAAGATAGAGAGTTTATACTCATATAGAGGTTAAGACTTCCGATGTGCATCTACAATCTTCCAGAATATTGTAGACCAACCTATCTAGCAGGGAAAACTTTTTAAAGTCCAAAAAGCTTTAAAAGTCTATTCACCCCCCCCCCCCCCTCTAGACTTTTACCTCTAATAGGGACCATCAAGTGGTATCAGAGCCGAGTGTTCCCTAGAGTCAGTTTCTGACTAATTTGAACTAAAGATCCAACTCACTTCACTTCCCACAAAACTTTCTCTCAAAATAGAGCCCATCATCAAACATCCTCCAGAAGCTCTTTTCCGACAACTCAGACACTCCATATTGTGGTTGGAACCTGTGGTTCTCAATCAACTGATTCTCTAAAAGCCACACTGCCAATGAACCGTCAAAGACGTCACCCCTAAGGACATGGCCAGCCGGCCAGGTGCTTAGTACACTCCAATATCAGTGTACATTTGGGCATAGCTCGTGTCTCCTTGCCTTTTGTGCAACTCAAATCCAGGTTCCGTATATATCATGGTTCTCAACAGGAGCGTGTAAATTCTGTGTGGGCATAGCCACATGGGGTACATCTATTTATAATTAAAGAGACATACAATGAACATATGATATATCATGGTTTTCAACAGGAGCCAGTCAGTTTGGTAGAAGAAATTTCCAAAATAGAAATTTATGGGCAAAACGTATGATGCATAGTTTGTAGCAAAAATATTATCGTGGTAACTATCGTGTAAACATCAGTGGTGCCTATTAAAAATAACACTTTCATCAGTTACTTTTTTATTTTGATCACACATTTGACATTATTTCACTTACTGAATCATGTGGGTCGACAAATGAAGAAAAACAGTATAATCATAGTAGCAGAAGTAGTAATTTTAGCATGTTCCATAATATGCAGGAAGAAAAACACTATAATCATGGTATTGATAGTATAATCATAGAACACTTGGCCAGGTCCCAGAATGTAGGACAACATATAATATTCATTTGGTTCTGTTTTTACACACCCAAAGCATTCCCTTTAATATTTTTCTGCTTTAGACGTTAGTAGATTCTAAAGAAGTGTTGTTTCATCTTCCCACCTTTACCCCATTATAGTTATTGTCTTGCCCAGTAAATTAAAAATAACCAAGTAGCAGCTAAACTACACTAGTGCTTAGCCAAGTTTAGAAGTATGAAAGTTGACACTTTTTTGTGCTAGGCTGAATCAATTAAGAATGACAACTCTAGCTTAGTTGGAAAATAAAATAACATGTATTCATAATTAAATAAGCAACCTTTAAATGAATCTTGTTTGATAATCTAGAAATGATGTGCTTAGTCAATCAAAGAATTTATTCTAGAAATCATTTTTTTAATCTAAATCTTAGCAGAAGGTTGGTCTATTGGTCTAGTTATTTAACTAAGGTGGCTCACTTACATGCATTCCTTTTCATAAAAAACCCAGCATGTAATTTATTAGGAAAAAATGATTGTAATAATCTCAACTATTGGCGGTCCGCTTATAATAATCTCAACTATCGATTATCTTAGAATAATCCCAACTTTAGTGATCTTCCGCCAATAATGGTCCGACATGACCGGCTATAAATAAATTCCTATAGTTTTTAAAGTGGATGAGAAGAGATATAACAAGTAATCCCTATAAATAATTCAACTTTTAATTTTACGCTTTATTTCTATTTAAAATTCACTTGTTATAGCAGGTCATATCTGGTCATGGACCATTATTGGCGAAGGGTCACTATAGTTGGGATTATTCTGAGAGAATCTATAGTTGAGATTATTATAAGTGGAGCGCCAATAGTTGGGATTATTACAATCAATTTTTCCAATTTATTATTCATTTTTTCATGCATTCCTTCCCACCCTAAAGTAAATAATTTCCCGTAGACAAGAACATAAAAACATGTTTGATTTTTCTTTTTCCTTCCTATCCGTTTCCTTCCCATCCCGAGAGCATGACAAACTTTTCATTGATTTACTTACTAAGATATCAAAGGAAAACAAGCGCATCAAAATTGTTGCTCACAAGACATCATTCCAATTCTAAAAACAGAGCAACAAAATATTATGAAAAGCACTCAAAATTAGTTAAACGTTGAATGAAACTCCAGAGTTAACAAGGAAATAAAACTTATTTGAATAGATATTATTTCAAATAAGTAAAAAATACTTATATAATACGTAGTATTTTTAATAAATAAGTGCAGTTATGCTCATACTATATTATTTTTGAAACAAGGATAATATATGTGAGATAACAAGTATTTTAGAATATCAAATAATTATGTAAAAATTGTTTATACATGTATTTAAAAATATCAAATAACATTATTGATATTTTAGAATATTATGATATTTTAGAATATTATGGGTGTGTTTTACATGCTTACTATTATTATAGTTAATTGATTATTGTGCCTAATAATAACCCTTATTTTTTATTTTTTATATTATTTATATATTTATTAATGTACTAAATTATGAACATTGACCGGGTTTTCCCGGTGTTGACCGGGTTGGCCCATCGGGTCCGGGCTGACCAGTGACCCGGTCATTTGTCCGGTTCTTGTAAGTTGTAACATATGTTCATGGAAGATAGTTTGTATTATTTAACACTATTTTCCCTAGAATATATGGAACTGAATTACTGAACATCCCCCCAACCCACACATATGCCATAACACAGAAACAAACAAAATGAAAGCTTGAAGAGACTTGCTAAGAAAAACAAAGAAACAACATGATGGCAAGATGGCATTGTAAATAAATCAAAGTGGTGCCTCTTCGGGGGCGGAGCCAGGGCACTGGGCCGGACTGGGCCGGTACAAATTATATTTTTTAAAAAAATTGTACACTGAATTTTTTACACTAAAAATATAGACATTTTTAAAATTCAGGCTGGGCCAGGGCCAAGGCTTGCCCTCTCCGAGCTACGCCCATGCGCCTCTTTTAAGTCATAAAGTAATTAGTAGAACCATTACCTGCCTTTCAGCAACATATTTTTTACCAAAGTCAACATCTTCCATCAACTTTCTTTTGAGGTCTCTTTTGACTTCCTTACTCCATTTCTTCCAGCCATGATATATAAGTGAATGGCAACTGCCATTGGAACAACAACCTCTTTGTTTACAAACATCCACTTTAACTCAATTTCTGGGAAGCCCTTGACAACTTCATCAGCAAGCATTTTTACAACAAACTTAGTTTCATTACCATATCTTTTCATTCTTTCCCTTATATGAGACTCCACATTGCTTTGCATCTCATGTGATTTTTGAAGAACTTGCTTTACGCGTTGAGCAAGACCAACTATCTCTTCATCAAATCCAATATATTCTTCCAAAATATTATCTAAAAGTGCCGCTTGCTGTAACTGTCTTTGAGAATGTAGGAGTTTTCCCTTTATCTCGGATCTGGAAAGCTTGGACGGAGGGCTGGGATGCATACTTCATAAGAAACCAAATTTAGGGCGAAGTGTGCAGAGGAATATACTCACATCTAGCAACAAGTTGTAAACAAAATTCATTGAAAGGCTTCATTCATGTACAATGCAGATCCCCCATTTTACTATAGTTTCCAAATGAAAACATGAAAATGAAGGCTTGATCTTAGCATCACACATATAACACACATATAGACAACTATTCTTCAATAAACTTTCTCTAATTCCCGTCTAAAAATATGAAATAATCAAACTGTATACTAATTTCATTAAGAAAAGATTACTCGTTAAGCATCAACATGGACGTGTATCAAATGCTTCAAATAGTAAACATGGTTCATTTACCTTGAACTCCCTGATATCCCAGTTTCCTCTAAAACATCCACAACAAAGGCTACACATTCCCTCTCAATTGACAATAGCTCTCTAGCGCCAATGCCCAGTGCTACTGCTTCTCTCATTGAAATTTCACCATCAATTTGGTAAATTTTCATCCGGATTATCAAGATATGCAACACGCAGATTCTCAAGAAATGAAGAGGAATCCCCAAGAAGAGAATTGGGGTTCTACCGCTATCCTAACTCACCCTACTGCCACTGCAACAACAACTATCCCAAGCGCATGCGCTGGTTTGAAGGAACTCATCCAAGGCACAGTGAACAGAGACATAACAAATCCTACTAGGGAACTCCCTTCCACAACTCCAAGTATAACAACAATTCAAAAACGACAAAGGAAAAACCCGAATTTAAGGCAAGATGATACAATCTGGTAAGGCGAAGAGAGCCCCATCGCCGCTCCTTTTGCATCCCCAACACTGGGGAGACTTCAGACGGTTGACTATCATGTTTTTATTCATAAATAAAATCACCCCTCCATCACTTCTTGGTAAGGTTTTTAGTTAACTTGTTTCATATTATTTGTTGGATCTTGTGGTGTCCTTCATCTATTGGAACATAACATATTAATTCATTTATGTTATTATTTTAATGCTACATTTTTACTTATGTACAGCCATGTAGTACGTACTTATGGGATAACGACGAACATACATACTTGTATGTCCTATTCTTGTGTATTTCAGTTAGTTAACTTCATCTTGTAGAGGCTAGCTTATCCCACCGTAACACACATGTATATATACACATGCGGATTTAGGAAAACATGTTATTGGGGGCATTAGCTAAACATAAAGTTCTAAAAGTCGCTAAACCCTAATTTGGCAATGACTGGCCACCTAGCGCCTAGCCTGGCTAGGCAGGTGTCTAGGCACGGACTAGGGTGCCTAAGTACTTTTTATTTTGTATTTTATTTTTTTCATTTCCTTTGAATTTTAACAATCTTTCCTAGTAATTTTATAGCATTTTGACAATAGAAAGAGCTACTAATATAATCATTAAATGTTATGCTTTTTGTAGTAAAATTATCAAGAATAACATAATTTATTGATAAATGAAGAGATTAGGGCATTTTAATCTTTAAAAACGTTCATATACATTCATAAAACTTTATGTACATGCAAACATTATTTTTGTTGTTGGAATATGATAGTGAATTTTGTAGGAATATAATACTTACTTGTCAAATAGTGTTGACAAAACGGGAAAATAAGTTGATTCGGGAACAAATTTAGTCCGGGCCGCCTAACCCTCACCTAGCCTGTCTAGCCGCCCCCGCCTAGCCATCTAGCCTGCCTACCCGACCGACTGATTTTTCCCCACCGATTACCACAAATTCGGGGCGCTCGGTCTATCATAAATATCCCTTTATTCCAAATTAAATTAATTGTCTAGTTTCAGTTTGTACAATTATGAATAAATTTTTTGAAAAGTAAACTAAAAATGGGTTTGAGTTTTGAATATTAAAAAAATGAAATGTTACAAAAAATGTATTTTTTGCAAATAAAAAGGAGCAAGACAATTACTTTAAAGCAACACAAAAAATAGCTATTTGGGGCAGGGGATTACATATTAAATGCAAAAATTACAATCAACCATTACCTATTTTTAAAACAAAACAGAACAAAATTAGAAAATATGTGAAAGAAAGATACTTAAAAGCGGAAAAAGTTGTTAAGAGAGAAGCCTAGCAAAAAACACAGAGAAACTTTAGTTCTGAAATAGCTCTGAATTGAAAAACCAGGTTTTTTGTTAAAGTGTTTTTTTGCTTCTCCGTATAGGGGCATAAGTTAATGGGTCCATGGGGTGATTGGTGCATTCTTTTTTTCATTGAAGGCACTATTATTTTCTTTTACTATAAGACCACTATTTATAATTTAAAAATAGAATTTATTAGGGGCATGTGCCCCCATTAAGTATAAGGTACATCCGCCCCTGCATGTTTTACTATCAAATACATATTAAGGAAGTTTACACTTTGACTTCACACATATTAAGGAAATAAATTTGACTTTACTGTAGAGTACACTGTTTGACACTGTTTGACACTGTTTTGCACTGTTTGATGTAGATTTGTTTGTAAAATAACGCAAATAAAGAAGTGTAAAGTTTAATATGAGACGACCAAAAAAGGAAAGTGTAACGTTAATTAAGAACCGGAGGGAGTACAATGAATTCATAATTTCTACATGGTATCAAAAGCCAATCTCTAAAGAGAAAATACACATTTTTTCCTCCTAATCTTCACATCGTGATCATCACGAACACTACCCAAGTTATTATCTCCCACGTGACATCCACCCACTTCCCGATCAAACTCACCACTTCAAATTTGTGGTGTGGAAGTGTCAAGTTCACTATGCCCTTGCAGGACTTGGTTTAGATGCGTATGTTGATGGCACTCTTTCTGTGCCTACTCAATATACAGATACTGTCATAACTCAACTCAACCCTGGTTATATCACTTGGTATCGCCAAGACAAAACCATAATCAGTGCACTCCTTGGCAGTTGCACGGATACCATTCAACCACTCATTTCATCGGCTACTACGGCATGTCAAGCATGGGAAAAGCTTGCACTTACATACGCATATGCAACACGTGGTCGTATCATCTCTCTGAAGCTCTTGCTCTCGCTCAGAGTCCGTTATCCGAGGAAGATTTGGTCATTAATATTCTTAATGGCCTACGTGACTATAGTGACTTATCCGAGGGTACTCTAGAGCTCACACACACTCCAACACCAATCCCATCACATGCGGATTTTGTGACAACGTTGGTCATGATGTCAAGTCCTCCCACAAACTACAAAGGTTTCTCCGATATCACCAAGTGCCCTATCCATCCACCCCAACGGTTCATAATACACCGCCGACCAAGCCCTCTAATGGTCAACCATAGCTCTTTGACAGTGGAGCATCTCATCACGTTGCATCTGATGTAACACTGTCCCCAAATATATTTACTTTTAAACCTTATGAAATGATTATTGAATTTACGAGGTTGTAAATTTTTGTTATTTCTTTTGCGTGAATAGTAAATTGCACGTGGGGCCCACACCGGGCATGAGAGCCGCCCATTAATTTCGTAACCACATATTATATTTATCTTGGTCTAGATAATATGTATATGATGGTGGATATCCTACTTGGGCCACAACAAAGGTATGGGGTTGACCGGTTGGTCAAACGAGACCCAATTACCAGTATGAGTGATTTATCGGATAACAACCCGAAATAGATTTTGGAGACTTCTAAATTCGATTTGGGGAATGTATATTCATTCTAAGGGCCCATAGTGGTTGAGGATGTGTGATATATTTTATTTGGTCCGATGAAATAAAATATAATTAAAACAGTCCGAGAAATACAACTTTCGGGGTCAATTGTACAGTTCGGGACTTATTGAGATGACCTCCCACATGAGTGGGGGCCACCCCACGAATTTGTCAACAATGAGAGCTTGATTGAGTGAAAAGGGGGCTGAAAACATATGAAGGGATGGGGGAGACCATCTTTGACATCTAAAGGGCCCCTCTCACACTCGTGTGGCCAATATGACAAAAGGAAACCTCTCCCCCTTTCATCATCATTGCACCTCTCCTAAAGCACCAAAAGAGGAGGAAGAAGCTCTTCAAACTCCATTTCCATTGTTGTAAATCGAGCTCAAGCAAAGTTGGCCCAAAGAGGAAGATTAAAGAAGGAAAAAAGTTTGGAAAAGTGTGAAGGGTTAAGGTAATGATCTCATAATAACTTTTTCCTCTACTTTTAATTATCATATGACTTATATATCATATGGAAGACCCCTAGGATTGTGATACATGTTTATAAGTATAGAAAGAGGGGTTATAAGGTGCTTCTAAGTCCAAGAACGGACTTAGAAGCCAAAATGACAGGTTCACCGGAAAATAACCTTTTAGAGGTTATTTGTGTTGATATGGGTTTTGTGATGATAAAACCTTGTTAGAAAATTGTCTAAGGAGTTCCTAGAGCTTTCACGGAGTATAAAGAGTTGCCGGAGTAATCGTCGGAGTTCAACAAAGTTCGCCGGAGTTTCGCCGGAGTTCAACCGAGAAGGGTAGAACTTCATAAAGCTCATTCGAGGTGAGTGGATGGCTTAATGTCTTGTAACTCTTGGGTTAAGTATGAGATTACCTAAAGAAATGTTATAAGTATTTATAATGATGTTTAAAAGAGTTTAAGCATGTGATTAGCCAAGGTAATTAGGCTTATGTGAATGAAACTACATGATTATGCATGTGAAGAGTATAAAATGTGCATAAAAACATATATGATGATTTGGATGGATAAAATGGCATTTAATGATTTTTTTAGACCTTATACATGTTGTGTAAAACTTTCGGATCGAACAGAGTTCGTTTCGGGGGTCCACGGGTCGTTGACCCGCACAAAGGGGCTAAACTGGCGCCGGTTATAGGGCTTAACCGGTGCCGGTTAAGCTACTGCCCCGGTTTAGCCAAATATAGGCATAACCGGTGCCGGTTATAGGGCATAACTCGTGTCGGCTAAGTTGCTGCTGCCAGGTTCCGTTTTCGCCAAAAATGCGATTCGGGCACCGGTTATGCCTATATTTGTGAGTGAAGCGTTTGTCGAGAGTCTTGACGTGCCATTGACACCGATGACACAAACCTTGTTAGTCTCCACACCGTTAGGAGATGACGTTGAGAGGAATCATTACTATCTATCATTTGAGGTAGCAGTGAAGGGTCAACAGTTGACTTGTGATTTCGTACCTCTAAGTATGTTGGAGTTCGATGCAATCATAGGAATGGATTGGCTTGAGAAGCATCATGCCCGAGTTGATTGCTACACAAAAGTTTTGGAACTCAAGGATAATGAGGAAACGCCATACGTTTTGAGGGAGATCGGGGAAGATCTCACAGTTGTATCATATCCGTGATGAGAGCACGGAAGATGGGGAGGAAAGGATGTCATGTGTACCTTGCTTACGTGGTGGATGAGACAAAGAAAGAAGTGGACATCAACGATGTACGTGTCATATGCAAGTACCCGGATGACTTCCCTAAAGACTTACCGGGGTTTCAACCAAATAGAGACATCGAATTCGTGATCGAAGTAGAGCCGGGGACCAAACCCATTTTGATTCCTCCTTATCGAATGGAACCGGCAGAACTTCAAGAGTTGAAGATTCGGTTACAAGAGCTACTGGACAATGGGTTCATTAGACTTAGTCATTCACCGTGGGGAGCACCGATACTCTTCGTGAAGAAGAAAGATGGTACACTAAGAATGTGTATAGATTAACGACAGTTGAACAAAGTCACAATCAAGAATAGGTATCCTTTACCGAGGATTGATGACTTGTTTGATCAACTTCGGAGGGGCTGTAGTGTTCTCAAAGATTGATTTAAGGTTGGGCTATCATCAGTTGAAGATCAAGAAGAGTGACATACCGAAAAGTGGATTTCGCACTAGATATGGTCACTACGAGTTTCTTGTGGTGTCATTTGGTTTGACCAATGCATCGGCAGCATTCATGGACTTGATGAACCATGTGTTTAGTGAGTACTTAGATCAGTTTGTAATTGTATTCATTGATGACATCTTGATATACTCGAAGAACGAAGAAGAACATGAGCATCACTTTAGGCTTGTGCTTGAAAGGCTAAGAGAGAAGCAACTCTTTGCCTAGTTCTCTAAATGTAAATTTTGGCTTAAAGAGATTGGCTTTCTCGGGCATGTCATATCCGGATCGGGCATTACGGTGGACAATGAAAAGATAGAAGCTATCATGGATTGGGAACAACCCAAGAATGTGAAAGAAATACGTAGTTTCCTTGGCTTAGCGGGTTACTATCATAAATTTGTTGAGAAATTCTCCGTGTTGGCGTCTCCACTTACGAAGCTCACGAAGAAGGGGGCTAAGTTTGTATGGGACGACAAATGTGAGAAGGGGTTTCTTGAGCTAAAGAAACGACTTACCGAGGCGCCAGTTCTTGCTCTACCCATACAAGGTATAAGGTGTGATATCTACAGTGATGCTAGCATCCAAGGGCTTGGATGTGTACCGATGCAAAATGGTAAGGTGATTGCCTATGCTTCTAGGCAATTGAGGAAACATGAGGTGAACTATCCTACCCATGACCTAGAGTTGGGGCGGTAGTGTTTGCACTAAAGATTTGGAGGCATTATCTCTACGGGGAGACATGTCACATCTACACCGATCATAAGAGCTTCAAGTATGTATTCATTCAGAAAGAGTTGAATATGAGGCAAAGAAGATGGATGGAGTTGATCAAGGACTATGACTTGATCATCGATTATCATCCCGGTAAGGCCAATGTAGTGGCCGATGCACTGAGCAGGAAGAGTACGTCGGGGATGCTACTCACATGTCTACAGGCATTGAGGGCACGCATGGAGGTATCCACGAGCGGGGACCTCATAGCAAGGTTCGAGGTTAGACCTACTTTGCTTGATGAGATCAACGGATGTCAGGTGATTGACGAAGAATGTCAGAAGATCCGTGCACGGATCCTCGTGGGGCCCGTTGAGGATTTACGAGTACGAGAAGGTGGTCTCTTATTGTATATAGATCGTGTATGTATACCAAAGAATGAAGAGCTCCAAAATTCCATACTAGAGGAGGCTCATTCTTCGACCTATGCTATGCATCCAGGAGGTACAAAGATGTACCGAGACTTGAAAGAAAGTTATTGGTGGTCAGGTTTGAAGAAGGACATCGCAGAGTATGTGAGTTGATGCCTTACTTGTCAGCAAGTTAAGGCGGAGCATCAGCACCCGCAGGGCTTTTGCAGCCACTTACCATTCCGGAATGAAAGTGGGAACATGTGACCATGGACTTTGTGGTAGGATTACCACTAACTGTAAACAACTACGATGCGGTATGGGTGGCGGTTGATAGGCTTACTAAGAGTACACATTTCTTGCCTATCAACATTACTTATCCTCTTGAAAGATTGACCAAGTTATACACTGAAGAGATTGTGAGATTGCATGGAGTTCCGATATCCATTGTGTCATATAGAGATACATGATTCACATCAAGATTTTGGCCAAAGTTTCAAGCATCTTTGGGAACTAAACTGAAGTTTAGCACAGCTTTCCACCCACAGACGGATGGACAATCCGAACGGGTGCTACAGATTTTAGAAGACATGTTTAGAGCATGTGCTTTGGAGTTCCAAGGGAGATGGGACAAACATTTGGCTCTTGTAGAGTTTGCCTATAACAATAGTTATCAGGCGAGTATTGACATGTCTCCATACGAGGCATTGTATGGAAGGAAATGCAGAACACCGTTGTGTTGGGACGAGGTTGGCGAGGCCAAGCTCGGAGGTATAGAAGTTGTCGAGATCACCAAGGCTAAGGTGAAGATCATTCGGGACAGGCTTAAGGCTGCCCAAGATCAGCAGAATAGCTATGCCGACAAACGGCGTAGACCGTTAGTTCGAAGTTGGTGATGAGGTGTTTCTAAGGATTTCTCCTTGGAAAGGTATCATCTGATTCATATCGAAGAGTAAGCTTAACCCCCAATACATTGGTCCGTTTGAGATCCTTGAAAGGATTGGAGCCGTGGTTTACCGGTTCAAGTTGACACCTGAACTTGAAAAGATACACGACATGTTTCATGTATCCATGCTCAAGAAGTATGTACGAGATCCGTCTCATATTCTTGAGAAACCACCAGTGGAGATCCGTGAGGACTTGCAAATGAGACCCGTGCATGAGACCCGAAAATGATCAAGGTACAATAACTTTTTTACTGAAATTGAGCTATAATAACTTAGTATATCAATTTCATAATAATATAATCAAAACAGGTATACAATTCAATCCACTACAAAAAAAATTGACTATTTGCGATGAACAATTTTCGACCAACTTTAAATTCACTCGAATTATAATGAAGATATGCGTTTTATGGACCATATATATTGTCGTACCACATGTATGCGATCACAAAGGTAAATACACATATAGTTTGAACAAATTAAGGAGTCCATTATCAACGTTCATAATTACTTGAATCCAATTATAATTCTAGAAAATTATTCAAATTTGTACTTGCGTACATAGAATACCTCATCTTTACAATTTATAGATTCAAAGGATATGAAAAAGTAACCCGAATTTACAAAAATTAAGTGGATAGAAATGTAGATAAAAGAATAAAATAGAAAAGTAATAAATTAGTTTCTTCAATTAAAAAAAAACATACGTAGTAGTTTTTAGTCTAAAAAGAATTATTCCTCTTATAACAAATTTATATTAAAAAATATTAGGGTGAGCACACCGGTTTTAATTTGGTTTTAATATCAATTCGATTCAGTTTGAAACAGATTGAAATCATACATGTTTCGGTTTAGTTTGGATTGATTCAGTCAATTTCGATTTGAATTTGTTATGTTTAAAAACATATTAAGAATTTATTGACTATTTGAGTTCAGCTCGACCTTATTCGATTTCTCACGGTCTCAATTTGTTTTAGTTTGATTTAATTTGATTTGAAAGACATACCACTAAATTCAAACAAAATTGCATATGATTTGATTTCGGTTCAATTTTGTACAATTTGGTTTACTCAACCGAACCAGTTTGGTGACCCCCTAAAAACACCCATGAAAGCTCACTCTCATAAGTGGCATCCATGGAAGTCAAGTGAAGTAGTACTTATTCTTAAGATCCCGTTAAGTAACATTACAATTAACATAATCGGTTAAAACTGCTGAAATTATGAAATTCTGACTGAAGTGATTAAATTTTCTTATTCTGCTAAATTATAGAAAAATTATACTCCGTATTTAAAATATATTTAATTAATGAAATAAAAAATTAGATGAAAATTAATGTAAATTTTTCTTAACCATTTTGTTTATATATACAATTTTTATCAAATTTGAGTTTTAACCACTTTACAAGACTTTTAATGTTATTTTTGAATATGTTAATTTTATTTGCCAAAAATAATTTTATTATTAACAAGGATCACTTAAGTTTATCACCTGTCAAATATCGTAAACTCAACTGGGATCGTTACCCGGACTGGAGGTAGTTTACAATATTCATTCAATCTCTTTTTTATTTGAGTAATGTAAGTTAATTTTTCCCGTGCAATGCACGTGTTCATTGTCTAGTATATATACATATATATAGCCCTTTTTTATAGATATTACTACATATTAGAGTGAAGACCAAAAAGTTACCGGATCCCAAAAAGTCCAAAACTATGACTAGCGTGCAAGACATGTGCGCTTAATCATCGAACATGCCATTTCCGGATGGAGTCAACCAACCGTTTTTATACTAAAAAATCGGCCGCATTAATACCATTGTCAATCGTGTAACTGAAAACCGAAAAATGTGGGAAATTTACGTTTGCAAACCTCGCTGGCCATTTCCAGAAATCATTTCGATCCCGTTCCAAATTGCGCTACCGGCGAATGAAGAAGAGTGTGCAACTGACGAGAAGAGACGTTTTGAAGTCACTGTGTTACTAATCTCACGTAAAAGCAGGTAAAATATGATCTCATTCAGTCTTATTTGTAGTAGCAATGATAGTGACGATCATTAGTACAAAGAATTGAAGAAATGAAACACTCAATTTTGTTGAAATGAATCTATCTGTGTAGATGCGTGGCGGTAATTTGTGTATGCTTAGGGGCGTTTCAGTTTGTCATGTGAAGGAAGGCCGTTAACTGGGCAATACTGTATGGTTTCATTGAGGGGGGTGGAACTGAAAGTCTGGTTCCTCCATTTTACTATGAATTGTAGTTACTACAATTATATTGAATAGTTTTAGTGACTGAAGATAACTGCAGTCATGTGAAGGAAGGCCGTTAACTGGGCAATACTGTATGGTTTAATTGAGTTGGGTGGAACTGAAAGTCTGGTTCCTCCACTTTACTATGAATTCTAGTTACTACAATTCTATTGAATAGTTTTAGTGACTGCAGCGTGAAAAAAGTATTGTAGATAGTAAGTGACTAACAATGCATTGTAGTGAATGCAGTGTGTGACTAACAAAGTATTGATTTAGTGACTGGTTTACGAGGATGCATAGTGAAAAAGCCCAGCATTATAGTGAAAGGCAGATTTTGAGGTCACTGTGTTTGCTTGCAATCACTCTGTTTGTGTACTCTGCAGTCACTGTTACATGTGTTTGAAGTGATCATTGGTGTTTTGTGCATATTCAATGTAACACAATTTAGTAGGGGTAGTGACTGGCATCTGTAGTGACTGTTTAGGGTTTTCGTGATGTGACAATTGTGTGACTATGTGAGTTGTTTGCAATCATTCCTGGTGTGTTCTATGGTGCAGCAGAGATTTATTTTTTGTGTGTATTGACTGGTTTAGTAGGACTTGTTATGAGAAAACAATGATTTATAGTGATTGGAGTGTGTTGCGGTAACTGTGCAGTGTGAAAAAAGTATTGTAGATAGTAAGTGACTAACAATGCATTGTAGTGAATGTAGTGTTTTGTGTTAACGTTCTGATGGTTTATTAGTAACTGCTGAATATTCATGTCACTATTAGCTGAAAAAATCTTGTGAATAGTGAATGGCACATTGTTACCGGTTATGTGTATGTAAATAAACTTACGTGTTGAAATATTTTAAAAACACAGGAATGGAAGACATTATGGTGACACTTTTGTGTGACGGTAGATGGACTTCAGATAATAAATTCACAGCAAAGGCTTCACATGGGATGCTAGTGTCAATGGATGCATCGTACAATGACTTGTTGTGTGAGGTGCGTTCCGTTTTAGGGATTTCAGAGACCGTGGAAGTAACCTGCATAGCTTATCAGATTGACAAAGCATTTCCTCCAACTAAAGTGGATAGTGACCATAGTTTGAGGTTTTATTTGAATATAAAGTCTAGAGATAAAGCTGATTTCAGTGCGTATCCCTTATGTGTGCAAACGAGGAAGGAAAGAAGTGATGTGGAGATGGTTTTGGATTCCCATTTGCAAGAAAAAAACAGGGCACTGGTTAGTGACTTTGATTTGAATGCTCAAGGTAAAGAGGTATACGCTTCAATGGAATTACAATGTGCAGAAGGAAGAGGTATGAATGATGGGATATACGAAGATACAAATGAAGGCAATAGGTCATTGCTTTCATGGGTTGCAGACGGTGTTGAATCAAATGTAGATGGAATGGACAGTACGTTAAGATTGAACGGGATTTATCCAACAAAGGAACATTTGAAGGAAACTTTGCAGTTGTATGCAATTTTCAACAAGTTTCAGTTTGAAACGAGGACATCAACTCCAGGAGTATTGCATGTTGTATGCAATGGTGAGACATGTAAGTGGGCTGTACGAGGCGTTCGAATATCAGGTAGTCAATGTTTTGAAGTGCGAAGGTATGGTTCTGATGCTATGGTTTACATAAGTTTAATTAGTTAATGTAACTTAGCATTTACAGTTGTTTTAAAACTTTATGACTTCAGGTTTGATTCAGTGCATAGCTGCTCAATTGACTGTCGAATGAGTGGTAACAGGCAAGCGAGTGCGACAATTATAGGGAAATTGATTAAGCACCAGTACATGGATGCTTCCGGGAAGCCATATCCTCCTAAATCAATTATTTCAGACTTGAATCGAGCGTTTGGCTTGAATTTGAGCTATAAGAAAGCATGGAGGGGCAAAGAGAGAGCACTGCTATCACTAACAGGTACGGATAGCGAGTCATATAAGAAGTTGCCGATGCTTTGTTATCTTATGGACAAGACAAATCCAAGATCACTGATTTGTTTAGACACAGACGAAAATGGCCACTTTAAAAGAATGTTCATGTCACTGGGAGCGTCTCGAGAGGGTTGGGCAGCGTGTAGACCTGTAATTAGTGTGGATGGAGCACATCTCAAAGCTAAATTCCGTGGGACTGTACTGTCTGCATGTGCAATGGATGCTAATAGGCAAATATTCCCACTGGCGTTTGGATTTTGCGATAGTGAAAATAAGGAAACATGGTCGTGGTTTTTTACTAAATTAAGGGAGGCAATTGGCGAAAGAGAGGATATGTGCATTGTGTCCGATAGAAATGAAGGACTCATAAAAGGTGTTAAAGAAATATATGCAGGAGTAGATCATGGGCATTGTGTTCAACATATACTTGGAAATATTATTTCCAAGTTTGGTGGGGGAAAAGACCGGGTGACTCGGTTCTTTAATGCAGCGGCAAGAGCTGCAACAGAACGGAAGATGGAGTATTTTTTGAGATTACTTGATGCTGAAGATCACAGGATACGTAATTACCTGGCAGAAATTGGACTTGAAAAGTGGGCTCGTTGCAAGATTAAAAGACGGAGGTACTCCATAGTGACGTCAAACAATGCAGAGACATTAAATTCTGTGGATGGAATTGCAAGAGAGTACCCAATAGCAATGCTGGTTGAATTCCTTAGAACCAAGATGCAAGTTTGGTTCCATGATAGAAGTAAAGCAGCGCGAGAACACAAAGGAAAGTTGTCAGCAGCGGCAGAGGAAGTGCTTGGGAATTTGTTAAGTGACTCGGCGGGAATGATAGTGAGTGTATTAGTGATTTGTTATTTATGCATTCATGAACACAATTAATGAGTTTTTTTAAATACTAGTATTTTAACGTTTGCAGTGACTGACCATGGAAAATGTTATTTAAATTATTTCAGGTTAGGCCAAGCACAGCGTTTTCATTTGAGGTTATTGACAAAAACTGCCGAGCATATGAGGTAAATCTTGAGACGCGGAGTTGTAGTTGCAAGGAGTTTGAATTGGAAGACTTTGTGTGTGTGCATGCAGTAGCAGCAATTCGTTTTAGGGGCGGGATATCTTGTTATGATTTCATTTCAAAATATTACAGCACTAGTGCATGGGTGGAAGCATATCGTGGAGCAATACATCCTTTGGGTTCAATCTCACACTACGATGTGCCAGCGGAAATAAGAAACTTCATTGTGAAGCCACCGATCGTAGATAAGCGGCCTGCTGGTAGACCAAAAAAGAAAAGAATACCTTCAATTGGTGAGTTTTCAAAGAAAAAAAAATGTGGGAGATGTAGACAGTATGGGCACAACCAGAAGACTTGCAACAATCCCATCCCAAGGAACATGGAATAAGATTTTTATGATTGTCCGTCTTGTTGATTACCTAAACGATAGCAATTATGTGTAGCAGTGTTTATTTATGTGGTGATCTATTTAGCGACTAAAGTGTTTCATTAGAATACTTGTGCGTAAATGAAGCGCAAGATACATAAATTGCATTGACAATTTATATTAATAAATGATAAGCTTGGTTGTGGTCAATGTTTGTGTTGTGTGCATAACTTATTGTTCAGCAAAGATGAATGTTTTCGTTCAGCAGTAACTATGTTTTACAAGTGGTTACTAAAAGGTTAGGGAACATGTTATTTAGCAAAGATGAATGTTTTGGTTTTGGTTTGTGTTTTGTAATTGTCTCTGTTGTTGATGTGTTTGTGATGTAATTGTGGTGTGGTTGTAGTCCACTAGTAGTAAGTGGTGTTGGTAATATTGATAAATTACTAAAAACGTACTTCACACTGGTGTGATGTAGTGACTTCAAAGTGTAGTAGTCGGTCGTAGTTAGTGTATAGTTGGTAGTCACACAAATAATGTGAAGTTAGTAAAAGACTTGTTTGTGGAATGTATATTAGTGTGGACAGAAATTTTTTAATTAATAGAAGTACAAGGTTAATTGATTGGTTACATGAGCTATGATACTCTCTTTGAAGTTGCTTAATAGTTTTTGGGTTCACTGGATTTACAGTGGTAACCATTTTGTTATAAGAATAATGTGATGTGTGAAGAGAAATCCCAGTGTATGTTAAAAAAAGGTTGTATGAGCGAATGTATGGAGTTGTTTTGTAATGAATGATAATAAAATGTAACAGGGGTACTGATAGTTGCAAAGCAGTGAAGTTAAATAAATAGGCAGTAGCAAAATAGTGGAGTCAAAATGCAATGTGATATCATTGCACACAACAAAACAGTAGAGTCGAAATAGTACTTTAACGTAAAAAGTGAAATGGATAAAACATACATCCAATGTAAGGTAAGTATTTGAAATGGCATAAACGTAAACAAAATTTTGTTTCTGGAGTAGCAACAATAATGTCAGTTTCAATGTTTTTGCGCCGCACGTTTTGAACCGTAACTATGAAGCTTGTGTGCCCATTTAGCGCGATATTCTGGAACAGTGGCTGGAGAGATGAATGAGATCCCAAACCCCATCTGCAAGCTTTCAGCCATCTTGAGCATGAGGAAACCACAATCACCACTGCAACATGGGTGTGCATTAGAATGCATTGATTAGTGACTAAGTGTGTGTGGAATGAGAGTGTGTAACAGTGATTTGGCGGATGTGTGTGTAGTAAAGCATACCCATTTAGTTGTTGTGGGACGTTCTTAACCATAGTGCACGTATATGGTGTAGTCACTGCAGGGACTTGGGGGTTAGCTGTGGAATGCAACTCACCCAGTAGTAATGGTAAGTAGTGAATAATCCCCTGCATTTCATCACTAATTTTACTGGACATAGATGCATGGCGGTTGTTGGTATCATAGACACGCAAAATCCTAGCAGGAACATCTAAAACCACTAGAACCCAATGCTTAGAATTCAGATTGAGTGGGATGTAAACGTATCTGCATTCGAGCCATGGCAGCAAGAACTGGGTCGGATCGCCAGCAACATTATCCGTGAAAAAACCATCCAAAGATGAAACACGATGAGTGGTTTTCCCTTTACAGAATAATGCATAGAGGGAGTTAAGGTGTTCTGTGAATAGACTGTCTGCAGTGGAGAATGTGTTAGGCCATCCTAGTGACTTGCCTTTCATACGTAGGTAGAAAAAAATGCAGTTGACATGCTGCAAAAGGAGGACGACAAAAAAAATAAAAACACAATCATAGTGATAGAGACCAAGAAATAATCACTGAAACATTTATGACAGAGTAGACATTGTTGTGCATACCGTGGCATCTAGCCACTGCCCAGATTGATACAACTTATATAGCCATGACTTACATTCAATAGTCAACCCAGGATCCAGTTCAAGCAAGAAGTCTTTGTCGACGTCGGGCGTGTAATGGTGGGCATTGTTAGCAGACCGCTGACCTCTAATGATACCCTTCATCATGTATTTGTGAAATTCTTGTCGTTTAGTAGAATTTGTGATCAAAGTGAATGGGCTTCCGGCAAGTGGGTTCGCAGTGGAGGGAGCAGTTGATTGTTTAGTTTTTCTAATAGCCTGTGACCCTGGTGTGAAGCGGGAGGGTTCGACAACTTTGCGTTTTGGGCGGTTGTTAACTTGTGAGAGCACATTCATTGAGACAGAGTTATGAAGTGAGACTGATTCAACCTAAAACATGAGAGGTTAGGTGTAATCTATGCGACTAAGTTGTGAAGAAAAGGTTAATAAGTGAATTTGAAATGGTAGGAATAAAGAATGAACGCAATGTAGTAACCGGTGCATCAGTGACAGGTGATTCATGGCTTAGAAATGCATTAGATGTGATTTATGTAGTGTGTTTGGGTAACTGGTGAGTACGCAGTGACTTAGGTGAATAATAATTACATTATGTAAATGAAATATTTCTGAAAAATATGTGTTGATGAAAAGTTTGAGGTATAGAAAATTAGAAAATATGTACCTCCATATTATTGAAACTGATTTCAGTAGCGCCGTAAGAGCATCCTCTATCAGCTGAGCCTGTTTGAAACTTATCGTGTTTGGAAACCTCCACAAAAAAGTAACTTGTTATAAAAAAGTGTGTAAGAGGTAGGTAAATGTAATAGGTAAATGTTGTTAATTTTTTTTTGGAAAGAGGGTGTACTGAGGGTGTTGTTGTCATCTTCACAGTCGATGGCGTGCTTCGATCGGGCTGTGGTAAGCATCCATTGACCTGCTTGAAAACAAAGAAGATAAAAATCTTAGTGCAAAGTAACTGAATATTGAAGTGGTATGGTGGTTTAATGAAAAATTAACATCATAAAATGAAGGACTTACATTCCCCTCAAGCATATCATATGCAATGTCAATGGCTTGAGTCCACCCCAATTCATCATTGCCTGCACATGGTTCCCAGGGGACAGTAGGTGTGAGTGAGATTTGAAAAGATGGGGCGTCCGAAGGAACAGGAACTCTGGTTTCATGAGAATCAGTTTGTTGTGGTGGTGAAGGATTTGAATGGACAGTTGGTTGGACAGTGTTATTTGTAAAAGTTGTGGTAGACTCCAACTTCTCCACAACAGCACGCAGCTTCGCAATGGCAGCCTCTTGAAGGTCAAACTTCTTATGATATAAAAGAATGTCCTTGTTAACTGTGATGAGCTGTTTTTCAAGTGTATGGACTCGTTCTCTCAGCTCATCATGGGAAGTCACATCTGCGCAGGAAGATGAACCTGGATGGGCATTAGGTGACTGGATTGTGATAATTTGGTTTTGTTTGGAAACATTGGTCTTCGACCTGGTACACATAGGTGAGGTTGATATTGGTGCAACAAAGAGAGGTTGGGGGATGAGTTTGGTAGGCTGAGTGCGAGATGATAAACTGGGAGTACGGTTATGAAGTGTGGTAGAGGGATTTGGGGCGTGTCGGGGTGATGAAGAGGAAATTGTGGCAGTAGGAGTTGACAGGGCGCACTTTTTGGACTTTTTTGTAGCACGAGAACATTCACCAAGGACTGCATTCTGGATTTGCATTGGAACAAATGCAAACTATTGAAAAAAAGTAAAATGAAGTCATGGATTACGATGATGACTTGTCATGTAAGCACTAATTCATTAAACAAAAAAATAAACAGTAGACTTACATGCTTCTTACAGAAAATGGTGTTCTTTAAAACATCTGCAGTTGTTTTTGTTGTGGAAGTCCATTTCAAGCAAAGCGGACGGGCAGTTGGGTCAACACATTGAGCTAGTTCAATGTCTGTCAGGATTGGGAAACACTCGAAAGCCCAAATTTGAAGAGCAAGGACACATCCATATATATTGTAGTGCTCAGGATTGGACTTCATGCTTGCAACAGATGCTCTAAAATAGGTATCCATGTCATCCCATACAACACGTCCCCATGGATACTTGTTAAAGTTTTCCAAGTTATCTACCAGATTAAGGTACTTACCTTTGACAGTGACTTGACCTTCAGCCGCTAAAAAAGATTGAGATAAGACATGTAGGAGAGACAACTTAACTATGTCGTTATCCGACACACTACCCCTTTTTATAGATTGTAAGACTTGCTTAATAGCATTTCGCTTTACAGATTTAGAGCAAGAGGGGAAGTATTTTTCCCATATACGACCCCTGTCAGTGACTTCATTGTCTACTTGAGGAATGTTATCAACGACATTGAATCCAAAAAATTCAGCCAAGTGAGATATAGAGAACACTACCCTCCTACCCTCAATTTCAAAAACAAAATCCCTAGGACACTGATTGTTGCCTACTTCAACGTCAAGCAAGTTACCCCGAAGAAAATGCAAAAGTAGCCCGGAACATAACATCTCCTTGGCATCTAGAAATTTCCCAAAAACAGTTTTCCTAAACAGTTCAACCTGATAAGGAAGTAATTTAGACCTAACTAGATTGATGGCATCATACAACCTACAAAAGGTATTGACCTTCCTTTTTAAATCGACATTCACAATGGCTTTGTCCAAATATCTTTTGCCTGCCTGAAAATATATTAACACAAGCACATAGTCATACCGCATACTGCGAAAAAGTGGTATATGAATTGTTTATGTGATGTGATATAGAAAATGAATATAGGATAAATAAACTTACTAATTCCTCGTTATGCAGGCCATTAGAAGCTGAAGGTACAAGGGGATGCGGGGACTCGAAGTCACTGTCACCCATCACTACACAAAGGATGAAATAAAAAATATACAAATAACTGTGATTTTTGAAAATGAGGAAGTACAGATTTGCAACATTATATTTCTGGTCTTCATGTACATATGAGGTGTGAAGTATGTACGTGTAAGTGTGAATGTATGAATCACTTTCACACCTCAATTACTAAAAACAAGTAACTACTTGAACTAACACAGTGAAAACAAAAAAAACTGATATGTTTGTCCTGAATATGAACAAGTTTTGAATGCTAAGTGACTACTTAACATGCATCACCAACCAAAATGTAATTGTTAATTTGAACAAACATGTGCTACACGTGAGTACAAACGCTCATTTCACAAAAACAACAACCATAATATTTGCAATTGAAGTCCAGATCAGAATCATGAAACGTTGATGAAATATTAACTACATTCAATCTCAGTCCAAAAAGGGTAAAAAGACTCCGAGACCAAAGCAACAACAAATCATTCAGAAAAAAAATCATGGCAACAAATGAATAACACATTTAACTTAATTTAAAGGCAAAAAAACAACATGCAAGAATCACTTTCACACCTCAGTTACTAAAACCAAGTAACTACTTGAACTAACACACTGGGAAAAAAAAACTGATGTCTGTACTGAATATGAACAAGTTTTGAATGCTAAGTGACTACTTAACATGCATCACCAACCAAAATGTAATTGTTAATTTGAACAAACATGTGCTACACGTGAGTACAAACGCTCATTTCACAAAAACAACAACCATAATATTTGCAATTGAAGTCCAGATCAGAATCATGAAACGTTGATGAAATATTAACTACATTCAATCTCAGTCCAAAAAGGGTAAAAAGACTCCGAGACCAAGGCAACAACAAATCATTCAGAAAAAAAATCATGGCAACAAATGAAAAACACATTTAAGTTAATTTAAAGGCAAAAAAACAACATGCAAGAACCATGGACACAGAAACGGAAGAGGGATTCAAATATGAAGTAATGTTTATCTTTTATGCATTGAACTGTCCATATTGGAGTTCTAGAATAGGGTTTTAGAGTGAGAAAGACATGGAAATCGAAAATAACAGTAGAAAATGTAAAGAAATCATATATTAAACATGATATTCGCAAGAAAATTGAAGAATTTGTACTGCTTACCTGCGAGAGCCGAAGAATTGCTTAATTGAAGTTCAACGAATGCGACAGAGATGTAGCGCCGTCGAGAGAAAGATAGATATACCGTAGAAGAGGAAAAATAGTAAGAAAAAAGATGAAGTTGGTAGAAAATGAGCAAGTGCGTTAATGGCGTTAATGGAAGAGAGGAAAACGGCGGAAAAAATGCAAATACAGGTGCGTTGAAATTGGATAGAGGTACGGCATTAATGACTGAGGTCACTTTTTTGGAAAAATAAAAAGGAATCATGTTTTTGGAATTCCAAAGTGTATTAGTAATATAGAGGCCATTCTTTCATATATATACTAGAGTTCACACAATCGAATATTTTCTCTCTCAAGCTTATTTGTTCTGACTTCTCTCTAGTTACTCCCCGCAGTAACCCCTCGGATAAGCTACACCCCGGGTACACTATCCATCACGGACGAAGGTAGTATATATTACTATTGTAATATTACTAATGGTTATTTGGCTCCTACACATATGTACTCCGTATATAATAAAAAATACATGGCCGTATGAATAATAAATGAGTTTTAATTGAATTAATTGTGTGCTTGAATGGACCAAACAACTCAATTGCAAATTTGCAAAATCAATTGAGTACCACAATTGCTTTTGGAGGGAAAATTACAAAATTAATTGGTCACCCAATTGCTTTATATAATATAAAGATATATATATATATATATATATATATATATATATATATATATATATATATATATATATATATATATATATATATATATATATATATTAAGTTATATATTAATGTATAACAATTACTTAATTATACAATGGGAAGTAATGTAGGAAGTAATTAACAAAAATGTAGGAAGTAGAAACTAGTTAACTACAACAATGTAGGAACTAGTTAACTACAAATGTATATAATTAAATATATATGTTTAATATGAAGGTGTAGGAGTATATAATTATAATTTTAATATAATATATTTAATAAGAAAGATTGAAAGAGTAGGAGTAGGAATGTAGAAATAGAAATTATAAATATTTATATAGTATCATTGTGTAATTAACAAAAATGTAGGAAGTAAGAACTAGTTAACTACAACAATGTAGGAACTAGTTAACTACAAATGTATATAATTAAATATAGGGAAAACTATCAAATAAGCCCTCGTACTATACCGAAAAAGTCGATTAGGCCCTCGTACTTTACAAACACTCAATTAAGTCCTCGAACTCTTAAAAACGTTCCATTAAGCCCTTTTAGTCGGTAAGTAACCGGTTTCCCGGTTAAATGTAACCCGTTTCCCGGAAGCCGCCGTTGCTGGAGTTCGAGCACATCGTCGCCATCGTCGTCGTTTAACCGGAAAATCAGTTACTTACCCACCAAAAGGGCTTAATTGAACGTTTTTTAATAGTTCAAGGACTTAATTGAGTGTTTGTAAAGTACGAGGGCCTAATTGACTTTTTCGATATAGTACGGGGGCTTATTTGATAGTTTTCCCTTAAATATATATGTTATATATGAAAGTGTAGCTGTGTAGGAGTATATAAATATAATTGTATTATAATAAATTTAATAAGATAGATTGATAGAGTATGAGTAGGAATGTAGAAATAGAAATTATAAATATTTATATAGTATTATTGTGTAATACTAAATAAGCATATAAATATAATTATAATATGAGAATATATGAATTGTAAAAGATGAAAGTGTAAATGTGAATAGAGTAGAATTAGTGATTGAGAAATTGAGAATTCAGAGTAGAATGTGAGTAGAAGTAGAATAGTGTGAAAAAAGGTATAAAATGAGTAGGTATTTTATAGGAAAAATGAGTAGGTATAAAAATTATCGGAAATTTTTTTGGTAACCTCCCCCCCACCCCTCCCCAACGGCCAAACTAGCCGTTCCAAACGGCTAGTTTGACCCCCACCCCTTATTTAATTTTAAAAAAAAAATTGTGACCATTGGGACCGGAACCGGGTCCGAGACCGCCCGGTCCAGTCCCCAAAACTGCAGCCCGAGATCGAAACCGCTACCTACCCGATCGGGTACCCGGTTTTAGACCGGAACCGGAAAACCAGACCCGGTCCGGTCCGAAACAATGTCGAACCCAGTTCCAGACCGGTCTTGGACCGCCGACCGGGTCCATCCCTACACTTGTACAATGTTGAAATCATACAAGGGTAAATTAGTAAAGAATGTGCTTATTAGTCATATTTTTGAAAATTGAGAGAAAACGTCTCTTTTTTGTCCATTAGCTATTCATTAGTACTCCGTAATATTTATGTCAAAACCCCATTTAATTAATCATCCCTATCATTGACCGTTTTCTACAAAAGAAATCTAGGTATCATTATTTAGAGTTTTATTTTTGTAATATAATTAATACTCTGTATCATTGATCATTTTCTATAAAAGAACTCATTTTACCAAATACAATTAGGGCTTTTTCCTTCAATATTATCAAATTAAAGGTGATTTCCACAAATGTGACCATTTTTTAAAAGGACAAAAATGTAACTAAGAATGTCACATATTTGGAAAACATTATGTCACTGTATTTTTTATGTACAGATTTTTATGTAACTATTCAATTTTAATGTCACTATCAAATGTCACTGCGGCCACCGCCCGTGTCACTGTGCCGCCACCCGTGTCACTGTTGCCACCGCCCGTGTCACTGTCGACACCGCCTGTGTCACTGTGGCCATCGTCCGTGTCACTGTGGCCACCGCCAACACCACCACGACCAGTGACTGTCGCCGCCATCACGATCGGTGACTTCCGCCGCCCGGCCAGTGACTGACGGCCGCAGCCGGTAACTGCCACCTCCCATTACACCAGATAAATCCCGGCGGCCATCCAGCTGACACCGCCAACTACAGTCTCCCGCAAACTGAGACCTCCACATCAGGCCAGTTACCTTCAGCACCCGCCACCCCGCCGGCATCACCAACCCATCGACACAGTTGCCATATACCCCTAGCCCTCTCCATCCACACACCCCAGCATCCAAAACTCTAGCCCCGCTCCTTGATCTGCCCTTGCCACCCTCTCACCTCCTGCTCCACCCAGCCAGTGCAACCCCTGATCCACCCCTCCCCATCCCCAATCAGCCCAACCTTTGCCGCCAAGCCGCCACATAAGAAACCTTAACCACCGCCCAACGCTATCGCCGGTGAAACATTCTAGCCCAATGCCACCCAGCGCGCTCACAGGTTGTGTCGTCGTCAAATGTCGGCCCCCTTCACAACCAACCTCGCCGTCATGGCCCAACACCGCTCCCACTACCAAGACCTAACCTTAGCTGCCGCCACTGATTGACGAATGAACTGTCACTACCCCGCCACAAAATATCTCTGCCGACAATAACATCCGTCGTTGAGGGATTGATGAAGAAGGCCATTGACGACCAGATCTGGAACTTCGTCGCTCTGGTAGCAACGAATGAGATCTGGAATTTGAATGTTCGCAAGGAAGAGGGAAGTCATGAGTTGGGCAGAGGGTAAGTGATGAGGCGGATGGATGTTAGTAGGGGAGAGAGAAATTCATGCGCAGGGATGGACTGGGAGATGGTGTTCTGCTCCCGGGGAGATGGGAGTTACGAGCTGGAAGAAATTCCCCCTTCCTTGGGGAGTTACTTGTGTACGAGCACAAAAGGAAAAAAACGGAAGGGGTGAGTTTAATCGGTCACTTTTTTGGGTAAATGGATTGTAGTCATATTTTTGTCCAATGAAAGTTGAGAGGTGATATTTGTGCCATTCTTTCATAAATAAATCCGCTAACAAGAATACACAATAGCTGACCAAATTCGGCAATAAAAAACGCAGACCAACAAGGGACATCCTTAATAATGGAAATCCTAGTTGGGCAGTCCTATGACCTGGTACCAAGTTACAGAATATCAAAAGAAATGGTTTGGAAGTATGGAGGAGAACAAAATGATCAAAGATCATGCAATACCAATTAAGCAACTGTCCTATACACAAACATATCCTAGGATCTATTATATATCATACAAGAAAGGACATTCCAGGATGGAACGGAGCATGGAGAAATTGAATACAAAAACAAAAAAAAACACCTTAAATAGAGTGAAAACCAAGTGTGCCTATCAGCCTATGCCTCACCGGCCTTCTCTCGCATACTACCAACCTTAATGCAAATGAATCATACACCATTATAT